CCTGTGTTTGCGTGGGGGCCCGAGGTCGTGCGGAGGGTCCAGCCACAGAACTGAGGCACAGGCGTGACGCAGCCGTCCCGCAGACCTGGGCCGAGGAAGGGCCCCGAGTCTGACTGGTGATGCCAGCCTGCCTCTGCCTGGAGGAGGAGGATGGGTGGGCGCAGAAGCTCCTGGGCCTAGTGTAGCCTGGCACAGGTAAACAAGACGGAAGGGCGAGAGGAGCAGCAGGCACCAGCATCATCCGAGCTGGAGATCTTGGCCCTCCCAGCACTGAAAAAGGACAAATGGGGCGATGGAGGCGTTGATTACCTAAAATCCGGGATGCCGCTGGGCGTGCTGATCCCGGCGCCAGCCATCACCACCACCCGGCGACACTGCTGCTTCCGAATGAGCTCTGCCACGTCGTGCAGGGTGAGCTGCTGCTTCCCACCGTCACCTCCCCACGTGCCCGCTCCCAGAACGGCTCTGGCCGCAGCAGACAGAGAGAGGGGCCTGGCCCCTTGGATCCTGCTTGGGACAGAGAGAGAGCAGCGGGCAGCGCACCGACAGCGGAGCTGCGCAGAGAGCCCTGCGAGCGGCATGACTGCGCGCTGCTGCTGAGCTAGGAGAAAGCTTAACCGTTAGTCCGACCCCGGGAGCAGGCACCTTCCGACGGCGATCTAACACCACCAGCTCGCTGGTGCCTCTGCGAGAGGGGGCTTTTGGGCAGGAGGAGGCCACGGGAACCGCGGCACGGGGACTCGCGAGTTTGCTGCGCTCGGGGTAAGGACGAGCGGTCAGGCGTTGGACCAGGCTGCCCAGGGAGGAGGTGCAGTCCCCATCCCTGGAGGCGTTTAAAAGCCGTGCAGATGCGGCCCTTGGGGACACGGTTTGGTGGTGACGGGTGGATGGTTGGCCTTGATCTCAGAGGTCTTCTCCAACCTAGGGCTCGACGAAGGCTCTTTCCTGCGTCCCGATCTTCAAGAAGTTCCTACGTGGGCGATGCGGCCGCCGCGGGACCGCGCTGCCCCGGCTGGCACCGACCTCCTCCGCGCT